GTTGGAAGAGGGGGGGAGGGTTGGGACTGACCGCGCGGTTGGAAGAGGGGGGGAGGCAAGGTGGGGTACTTTGATTGACAGATAGTGTCGTGAAGATTATTTTTTTTTTTATTAACTGAAGAATATTTGTTTTAGCTCATAAAATTCATACAAATTACCGGGCCAGAATATAATTTACATTGCTGGAATTCTTATAATTTGGTGATCATTTTGAATATAAACATCATATATTTTGCATTAGACATACAAATTTTAGATAAAATTTTTTTCTCTGGGTAACTATGTTATCTTTTGTGCAAAATATATGACATTTATATTAAAAATATTCCTGGTCTTACAAGGAATCCAGCAATGTCAATTGTATTATCCTAACTTTAGTTTGAGGTATTATTTATTAAAATTTAGTGGTTTTCCCCCAAAAATTTCTCAGAGAGGGAAGAGCTGGCAGTGTAGTGTGAGAGGGGGAGGGAGTTGAGTCCATTATTTGAATGGACATTAACTTAGCGACTGTATTTCTCTATTTCTCTTAAGTATTAATTGTGTGCATGTACCATCATAAAATTAAGATGTTATTTTTACTACAACATAGTTATGTGTCTTCAAAAAGTGGAGTTTGGGGGTCGGGCCGGTTTCTATTGGAATTAATCCCATATGTTCTGTTGTTCACTTAACGCGGATTTCACTTAACGGGGACCCTCTGGGTTCTATTGACCGCGTTAAGTGGGGTACAACTGTATATATATATATATATATATATATATATATATATATATATATATATATATATATATATATATATATATATATATATATATATATATATATATATATATATATATATATATATATATACATGTATTTGTATATTTAATCTACCGAGACACAACTCATTTAAAAGGCAATAAAACAAAATCGATGGACCGAGAGAGCAGAAGTGATGATATTACAGGCGACGCTAATTTATGACTGAGCGCGTGATGCCTTTCCCTTTGTTTACGAGTGTGTGTGGGGTGGGTGGATCACGAGGTCTGTCCGCTTTGCTCCCTTGAAGTTTTGGCTTATGGTGGACATGTCATCATACAACAAATTATGTCCTACTTTTTTCTTCCTTTCTTCCAAAAAATTTTGTCTGGTTTAAGTGGGGTCCGCCTTAAAAGGGGTCCGCCTTAAGCGGGGTCCGCCTTAAGCGGGGTCCGCCTTAAGCGGGGTCCGCTTTAAACGGGGTCTGCCCTAAACGGGCTCCACCTTAAGGGAGGTCTGCCTCAAACGGGGTCCGCCTCAAGCGGGGTCCGCCTCAAGCGGGGTCCGCCTTAGCGGGGTCCGCCTCAGCGGGGTCCGCCTTAGCGGGGTCCGCCTTAGCGGGGTCCGCCTTAGCGGGGTTTTACTGTAGTTTAATTACCTGACCCTCATTTTAGGTGCACTCTATATGCAAATTTGCAATTGCAATTATGCAAGGACTACTTCTACCTGCAATTAACTTAATGCAAAAAAATTGCAATTATGAATTCTGTGCAAGATATGGAAAGGGGGAAAAGCTGGCAATGAGGTGGTCTGTGAAATGGCATGTTGCAATATACTGTATACTGTATTGTTTTATATTATATTTTCTTTATTTCTAAGACACATCAGAGCATTGTAATTATTTTTCCACAATTTCTAAAGCATTACTGTTGTCTTTTAGTGTGTCTGTACTTTGAAAAAGTGCCAAAATTAATTAATTTGGGGAGGGGGGGGGGGTTTCGGAAATGATTGTGGAACACATTCCCCATTTTTCCTCATAAAATAAGAAAGACATTTTGCGAGGCTTTTGCAGAATGTGACCCTAGCATAAAGCAGGGGTCAGGTGTATATGAATATAATGTATGCATCCTACATTTATGTAACCGGTACTGTCTGTTAGACGGGCTAATACAATATGGTTAAAGAAGGACATTCTTCTCCAGGTAGTACAGTATACTAATTGCGTGTTGACCATCTTTTTAACAGCTTGCAGATACAGGAGGTAAGAGCTATAGGGCTATATTCTAGCGGGTGAAGACCCTCTTTTCCAGTCTTCTTGAAAGGCAGGACAGTAGCCTCCAGGCATGAGGACAGGAAGGCATCCTCTTGCCCGATCCTGTTATTTAGCTCCAACAGAGAGGACTGTGCCTCAACTTCAAGGTGGCAGAGCATTGAAAATGGGATATCATCAGGCCCTGGTGATGAATCTCCAGTGAGTGAGAGAGCAGTTCTCATTTAGTTCATTGAGAACATGATGTAGGTCTCACCACGTCCCACTCCAAAATCCAGGACCAGTGACTCCTCTACGTTACACACCTGCATAAACTCTGAGGATCGAGCAGCCATAGAAGACACCCCTCGGCAACTTCTTGAGGGGTGGCAAATGAGCTGCCATCATCAGCCCTGAGAACTGTGGAAAGATTAGATGAAAGCTTGCCTGCTATTTTCTGCAGACGTTTCCATGCCTGGGACAAAAAAGTTTTTAATTTAGAGAGGAGTCAAAAGAAGAAAAAGATTGGTGATGGGCATACCTTAAGCCTCTGAATATGCCGCAGGAGAAGTGGTAGAGTTACTCTAATCCTGGTTGCAAGATCAACAGCATCAAGAACTTGTAGTCTTTCAGGCAGTGTAGCTCTCACTAGTGCTGCGACCACATCTGCAAGCTGACGACTTGGAACTCGTTCTACCAAATCCTGGAATAGAAAATCTGACAATTTTAGTTTCTCTTACATATTTAAAAATCGATGCTATCTATACCCATCTAACCATGAGTGAAATTATGTTAAAATGTTTTTTGTGATGTTTAAAGTAGACAAGATATACATCTCAGTTTCTCCCATTCACTACAGTTCAAAATATTATAAACACACTCTACAATATCCGTACTACCGTTTCTCAACTCAACTCTTGATGTTTATACAACATGTGTATTGTACTTTCCCACCATTCTTCAGTAGCCGGAGTACAATTTTTTCTTTCTTGACAAAATTTTCAATGCAAATTTCAACCAATCACAAGTGTTATCAATATGTACCCTGAAGATCCCAAATTTCAGTATGGAGTTTAAATTAAAATTATCATGACTATAAATTGTTATAAAATTTCTTTGCCCATAAGTTAGCTTATTTCAAGAGCTAAAATTTTAATTACTCAGCACTGCAGTAAACTTAACTTCGGCTTATAAGAGCTCTATACACTTTTTGTAGCATTGTCCATTAATACAATGGAATATATGTGATCTACACATCCTATACTCTCACAGAATTCTCAAAACCACTGGAGAAATTTAATTTTCTCTATCCAAAAACCTCAAACTCTTGTACAAAACTAATATCCTACTCCAGCTTAACACAATGCTCTATGATCAAAAATCATATTTCAGTGAGATAAAACTATCATATTTGGAAAGGTAGCAAGTCAAACCAATGTCTAAACAATGTAGAAAGACCTGTATGAGCTGTTCAAATGGTCTTGAGACTGGCAAATGCTCTTTAACATAAAGAAATGCAAGACCCTACACAGGATACAACCCTAATCAAAATTTTTCTGTTAACCCTTTCCTTGATACTGTCAATAAGGAGAAAGATCTAGGCATTGTGATACATCAGTCACTGAAGGTGGTACAAGCTAGAAAAAGCAAATGGAGATTTGGAAGTTATAAAGTGTACCTTCGAATACAAAGATGGGAAAATGCCCCTTCAACTACACAAATCTCAAGTATGTCCCAGTCTGGACTGCTATATACAGGCATGTATATCCTACCTCCAGAGTCTTAACATCCCTAGAAAAGGTGCAACACATGTCTTCTCTATTATCCAAGCAGACTGAGGGCTTTAAGGTAACAACCCACTAGACAAGGTACAGTAGCTAAAACAACTATCTGTGCAGGTGGGGGTCGATATGCTCCGAAATTTAACGTGTGACTAGTGATAACTCTCATATACCAAAATTTATAATCCATGGTCTCATATTGTTTCCCACAAAGTATGCACAGATAGTTGTTTTAGCTACTGTACAATAGGGCAGATGTCATTGAAACATTCAAAATCTTGAAAGTGATAAAAAATGAGTTTCCAGGCCATTTTTTTGTAATGTCACTCACCATAACTACAAGTTCGCAGTTATAATGCAGACTGAACATAAGGAAATATTTATTCACACAGAGGGTGGAATTATGAATAGTATAGGGCTTCAAAATAGCCCAAGAGAGAGAGAGAGAGAGAGAGAGAGTGTGAGTGTGAGTGAGAGTGTGTGTGTGTGTGTGTGTGTGTGTGTGTGTGTGTGTGTGTGTGTGTGTGTGTGTGTGTGTGTGTGTGTGTGTGTGTGTCCATTAGGTAAATAAGCTAAATTACACTTATAAAATCTTCAAAGGCACCATGTATGGCAATCACATTTAATTTATAAACAAGGTCTTTCTGCAACAGTAATACTACTATACAGGCAAACCTCTATTTATGATGGGGTTAGGTTCCTTGGGGAGATATTAAAAAAGTTTCAATTTCATAGTACCGGTAATCATAATTAATCAGCACCAATCTTCAGTTGTATTGAAAATATGTTTTTTGTTTTTCAGAACTAAATTGCATCTGCTTTTCATCAGCAAAGTTAAGACAAAAGTTTTATAACTGTTACAACAAAAGTTACATTTTTCTTACGTTTCAATCAAAATATACCTTAAAATAAACAGGCTAATCATCAATCGTCTGACATGTTAAAGCAAAACTGATGGATTGGGTGTTTACTATATTTCAGCAAATATTTTTGGTCAGTTATTTGATAAAATTGCTACCTATCACTTGAAGACCATAGAGAATGAACTTATAAAATCTGCAGCCAAGTTATTCAGAAAGAAATCGTGGACGAGATAAGAGAGAGCAGTGGTATATTTGCTTTGTAACTGCCTATGGTTCAGAGACAGTGAAAGACAGATCAGGGAGGAGTTTGTAGGGTATTATGAATGTCAGTCAGTTACAAGAGAAGCCATTGCAGACATAATAAAAAAAATACTTGACTGCAACCTTGGACTTGACTTCAACACGTGTGTTGGCCAAGGATATGATGGGGTAGGGAATATGACAGGTGCTGCTGTAAGGATTGATTAATTGTGGTAATTATATGCTTGGAGATGCAACAGCATAGGTCATGTTGCTGAATTAAAATAAAAGCTTATGAGACTAAAATCAAATAATGCAAGGAAAATTTTTTCAATAATATATAGCATAAAACTTTTGAAAAGAACAATTTAAATGTTAATAGATAAAACTCTTAAGCTTATGTAGAAGGCGGGCTTCTTCCACAAAGGAGAGGACGTCCCCTCCCATGCTACCCATTCCCTCACCCAGCACCAAAGTGATGGTAAAACCCATCTCCCCCAGTACTGGGAAAGGAGCTTATTACAAAGATCTCTCAGACTGGGGTACTCTACCAGGAAGTGTTGAAGAGTCAATGGGACCAGGCAGACATCACAATGGGGAGGCGGTGCACACTCCATTAAAAACCATGTGTCAGTCGTTTGTGGCCAATGTGGAGACAGGCCAAAGCAGTCTCCTGGTGGAATGACAGTTCGTTATTGATAGATTAATTGATTGTGGTAATGACATCCCTGGCAAAGCATCAGCTTAGGTCGTATGTTTCCAATATCCCCAGGCACCCAAAGCAGGGAGAAATTCATGGAGCTCATTTGCTCAGGCAGCATCCAACCTGCACTGCCAATTTGAGTGGATGGCAGCTATTGTTACTGGCTTCATATCAGAGGCAGGTAGAGGGGAATAATGTGCCACATGGCGAGAAGCAGCTGCTTTTGTCACAGCATCAGGACGCTCATTCCCTTTTCCCCCACATAGACCGGAACCCAACAAAAATAAACTTTCCGACCCTGACGTTGGATGAGAAAGTTACTGTAAAATATCTATAACCAAGGGATGGGGCGATGAAACAGTAGCTAAGGCCTGGAGAGCATTATAAGAATCACTGAGGTTGGGTAAAAATAATCTTGAGAGCAGGTAAAATACCTGATAACTTTGCTGAAAAATAGATGCCATAGTGGGGAAACTACCGTCCCGACAGAATTCGGGAAAGATTACCCCCAAACCTACCCCTGCATCAGACTTAGAGCTGCCAGTGTAAACAGGGATAGTCCCCCTATGAGAGGAAGCATTTAAAAAAAAAAAAAGAGAGAATGAACTACACAGGGAGGTGAGTAAGTCCTTCCTTTGTTAAAATACTCACAAACTTGAACTTTAGGGAGAACCCACAGAGTGGTACTAAGGAACCGCATGGGGCATATCTGAACAGAAGGAAGACAAAGAATACTCATAACTTCCCTTACCCTGAAGCTGAAAGGTTGTGGAAAACTTGGATCCTGAGTGTAGTGTGGGGACATAGTCTCGTCAACTACACAAGTATTGGTTATCGACTGGCAAAGGCAGTGGACGCGAAACCAACACTGGACCTGGAGATACTGACGTTGAAAATCAAATCGAGGGGTGGCTCCTCAGCATCAACTAGTAGACTTGGGATTGGCAAAAGCCTGAAGGCACTGGTCACCAGGCACACCCCAGCTTCTGAATAGTTCAGTGTATTGAGTCTAACCTCAGTAGCTGAGGTACTAGTACACCTCACACCCATAATCCAGTTTGGGTCTAACTAGCATGGAGTAAAGGTGTAGGAGAGTTCCTCAGTCAGCACCCCATGACGTGTGCCCCAAGACTCTCAATAACTTGAGAGCACGCTGGCAAGACACTTTGAGGTAATGAATATGTGGCTGCCACATAAGCCGGTAGTCAAAGATAATACCCAGGAAACGGGTCTCTGTGACACACCGCACATGACGACCATCTTGCTGTAGATCGGGTTTTGGTTGAACACCTCATAGGGGGCAGAAATGCATGGCAATGGTTTTCAGGGGGGAAAATCTGAAACCATGCTCTGTGGTCCAACGTGAAACCTTGTCTAGTGCTAGTTGCATGGCATGCGACATTCAGCCATTGACATGCAGGAAGCTGCATACCAAATGGCCAAGTTGTCTACATATGATGAGTTTGATACACCACCTGGAACTGATGCTGCTACCCCATTTATTGCAATGGCAATTAGGGTCACACTCAAGACAACCATTGCAAACAATCACTGTGGAATTTGGAACTCTTGACTCTAAAGTGATGGTTAATGGTTTATACCATACAATGGTCACTTTCCAGTTTATATATGCCACCACTCTCTCATGTCTCATTGCCGAATGATATTTCTTCAAAGAATTTTTTTTTCTTCAGTATTACACTTGTTATATTGTCCCATCTCACATAACATTATAATACTATAGTTTCCATAGGCTTTCCCATTAGTGGAAGTATCTCTCAACCTAATTTTCCGGAGTATGTTTTCTGTCAATAACCCTAAACCGGTAGTTAAGAATTCCCTACTCCACCCCTATGCACAAATATGGAATGCAGCAAGGTATATGAAACATCCACTGATGACGGCCACCATCCTAACAGCTAGCTTCCACGATGATGGCTTCTGTTTAAGGGTCAAGACTGATGAAAATTTTCAAATACACCCCCCATACTGTACCGTACAAACAAGTGAACTAAAACACAATCAGATCTTATAAAAGACGACAGTACCAAAACTCAATGCTTATTTAATATTAACCACAATTAATATCATGTATGATTTAAAGTTACTAAGCAAAACTCTTTGATAAAAGTTGACGTCACTAATAACTCATATCAAGGTAAGAGGATATGTTTAAACATATACTGTACTGTCCACGCAATTTATTTTTCTCTCTGTACATCACAGCAAATAAGTTGACGTAGCCAATGCCTTACCTTTAACTTGGCAACAGCTGGCACAGAAACATCAAGCAAGTCGATGAGTTTCTGAGCAGCTTCCTTGAACTCCGAAACTAGTTCTGCAAGTTGTCCACCATCTGAAAAGTTGATGCCATTAATAATGGGAAGCGAACAAGGCACTAGGTAAGAAATATACCGGGTACAGTACAGCAGTTCTATATTTGGGAGCAGCAGCAAAAGTCAATAAATAATATACAGTACAGAAAAGAGGTTCTGTAGGAGGGGATATTCAAAGGTTTCAGCTGTTCCTATATAAAGACTTTACCTGGTCACTGTTCATCGGTACATCTCTGTTAGATGTTTTCTTGAAGGCAAGGAGAAACACCATGTAGTGGCCGAGAACTTTAATGTGGAGATCCGTGCTACACGACTGCCAGGAGGGAACTGCCCACCACAGCGCATCTCTGCTACCAGGGTTTGCCGGGTAGTGCAAACATAACAATAATAATAATCCTACATCTTACAATCTCTAAGGTTTGTATCGCAAAACCTGCATATTTTCACAAGGTCTTCAATTCAAAATGCTCTTTGTCATTCAACAAGCACTAATACCCCGTTTAGCGCTCGGGATATGTTCCTGGCTAATACAGTGCTATCCAAAACAGCATACAGTATATGGAGATGCATTCCTAATGACGTTATTTTTTACCTATGAGATATATGCAGTATTGTATATGAAGGGTACAGGAATTAATAAACACAGATTATTACAGTAACATATACTGTACTGTATTTACTAATTAATGAAGAACAAATAAAATATATTGTACCATGAATGACAATCGTTTGATAAATTAGTGTGAGATGCAGTGTGGGGGTGGGTGGGAGAGGGGCAGGCAGGCGGGAGGCAGTGGATATTGTATGACTCTGCTCTGGATGACGCTAATCCATCTCTGAAGTTATGATTCAGGTGGTGATAATAGTGGCAGTGGTGGTGGTGGTGGTGAGGGGTGGTGATGGTGGGCAGTGGTGGTGGTGGGGGGTGGTGTTGGTGGGGGGTAATGGTGGTGGGGTAATGGTGGTGGGGGGTAATGGTGGTGGGGGGTAATGGGTGGTGGGGGTATGGTGGTGGGGGGTAATGGTGGTGGGGGGGTGGTGGGGGTAATGGTGGTGGGGGTAATGGTGGTGGTGGTGATGGGGGTAATGATGGTGGTGGGGGGTAATGATGGTGGTGGGGGTAATGATGGTGGTGGGGGGTAATGGTGGTGGGGGGTAATGGTGGTGGGGGGGGTGGTGGTGGTAATGGCGGTGGTGGTGATGGCGGTGGTGAGGGAGATTGATAAGTGGCGAGGTGATGCGTCTATTGGTTTCTTTGGTAACACTGTGCCTGCAGCACAGCCAAACACTATTGAACAGCTGATATTTACCCCCACAAAATTGAGTGTAGGTATAAATGAGCAATGTTGTAACCCTTCAGCATTACATTACATAGCATTGTAAAATATGGAGTGAGAAAGCAGAAAGGTGTGGGTAATTAGAGAGATGGAGTGGAAGGGAATGGTAACATGCACCAGGTGTTGCCAAGTGCTCCTCAGCAACTGATTTCCATGCCGCCACCACACATTGCGTTTCAATAAGACCGACACTTAATATAATAACTTCGTGGTTGTCATGGCTGAAGCTTTTATCTTGCTTGCATTCTTAATAATGGTTCTAACGGTCGATGTAACCCAGTTGATAACAACAAAGACATCCACCTGACGCTCGCCAGCTTCCAACCGCCTCAACACTTGTAATTTTAAATCCAAGGAAATACTTTTCCGTGGCACTTTAGACGCACTAACAGCATTAAAACTTGCAGGCTGTTTTCCAGACATGATGAGTAAAAAAGCCACTAGATCAAAAAAAATGGTGAGTTAACAAGAATGTGTCCAGTGTAATTGCAGCTAATTTGTACTGTAGACTCTAAATAAAGTTCATGGCGCTGATTGATAGAGTATGCAAAAACAAATAGAGCTGCTCTCTGCATGACTGGTGATTTTTGGCTACTTTAATGTCTTTTTTTTTATCCTAGAGCTCCAAGAAGCACGTAAGAGCACTATAACAAAACAGCGCTCTACGGGGTAGAGCTAACCAGGGTATTACCGTAGTTCTCAATTTATGAAGCTTTGCTTTACAAACAAAAACCCTTAAGTTATGAAAAGATTTTTCAATATTTTTGTAATTTTTTCCTAAATAACAATGAATACAATGATGTCCCCATTAACCAGAATAATTGGTGCAGAACTCTTCCAGGAATGAGAAACTTCTGGTTATGAGGATGAATTTCTCCTCCCCCAAAAATTGCACATCCCCAGAATTTTTCTGGGTACAGTGTACAGGTTGGGTATCCCTTATCCGAAATGCTTGGGGCCTTAACGGTCTCGGAGTTGGGATATTTTCGGATTTTGGAATACCTATATCCAGTGTTGTACATTGACGCAACCTTTTGTTAACGCTGACGCCATCAATTTTTTGGGCAGGTGACGCTACAGGTGACGCAGTCAACTTTTCACCCGAGCGGAGCGTCAAGCGTCAATTTGTTCGTCAACTTCTAAAATTTTTTATTTTTCCAAGTTCGATTTTCAATTAACTTGTTATAAAGACGACCGGGAAAATTTTTGCCGTGCCGCCGCCTGCGCAGCATTCCAGATTTGAATTTTCAAGTCAGGAAAAAGGCCACCAACCAGCTGTCCAGGATGGTGGAGAAGTCCGTGCACGAGACTGAGAGCAGCATCAGCAGCAGTGAGGGAGACGACAAAGACCATGACGTGGAGGACGAATTGTTCCAGGCCCTGTACGAAACCCCCCGCAGGAATGAAAAAGACAGTGACCTTTTCAAGCGTTTCCTGGAGGAGAAACCTTTGAAAAAACTTTCGATAAGGACACCTTCCCCAACAAGGCCATGAGGGAGTTGTTCATCAAATACAACACCTCTATCCCCTCGAGTGCTGCTGTGGAGCTCATGTTCTCCATGGGCAAGGACGTCTTGAGGCTCAAGCGCAGCAGAATGAGCGACAAGCATTTTGAGATGCTAGTATTCTTGTGGGGGGAACAAACGAATACAGTAATTAAAATGATATAAATCAAAACAAATGATTAAAAAACGAATGAATATTTTTTGATTTTGCATATGTTACTCCCATACACAGGAGAATATGCGTTTCGGGGCTGCATTTGTACGTCACTAAAAACTCGTTGACGCTAGGTGTTGGCGCTGACGCTAACAGCATCAATTTATGAAATCGTTTACGCTGACAGCACTTTTTTTCGTTGACGCGTACAACACTGCCCATATCTTGTATACAGAACCTGTATAATGTGGAAGCTCACCTAGCAGGGACAGGTAGTCTTATAAAATATAATTTAATCATTTTGGGTATAAAATATATGATAAGATGTACACTAAAGACCCAGAAAGGTAAGCAATCACTACCATCTGTTGGGCATCGCCATGACGCCTGACTCCGAGGTACTAAGCAGCCTGTGTCTTACCTTTATTCATTACACATACATACTTATCCTAGTAAAAATTATGAGTGCTGAAAGTGATGCCTTCAAATGTAGATGCCCGATGTTCACAAAATTGTCCGAGGCCAAAGGCAAAGGGGACATTTCTTGGACCACAAATAAAGCAAATGTTGGCATCAAAAAAGTTGGAAGACAAAATGTCTACTGTCGAAAAAATGCATGGCAAGCATTTCAGAATATAGTACAGTACATGGATTTCTGGGCAATAAGAAGTGCAAAAACTACAATGAGCATGTCAGAAATTTGAATGTGTGGTACAGAGAACTTGGGAACAAAATGTCCCTGAAGGTAAATTTTTTTAATTCACATTTAGACTTTAAAAAACATTTGGGTGAAGTTAGTGAAGAGCAAGTGAATGTTTTCATTAGGATATCCAAACCATGAAGAACAGATATCAGGGGCAATGGGATGAACCAATGATGGGTGACTACATTTAGAATTTGATTAGAGATGACCACAAGGATCACAAGAGAAAATATCAGTCAAATGTTGGTTTTTAACACAAGTGTTGTAGTTGACTTTCATTTGCAGTTACTGTATTGCAATTTTTTTGTTCTGTGGTGTACAATGTACATACAGTACTATAGTTTTTAGATTAAGCTGTGAGTTAAACAACCCTTTCATTAGCAAATGCAATAGGGTACTGTTATATTTTTTTTAATTTCTGTTGAAACCATGGGTATACTGTAGTAGATTCCTAATTTAAGAAGAAAAAAAATAACGCTATAAAAAAAATTCACATAACTTTTGCAATCAACGTACACCGAAAAACACAAATAAACAATAAAAAATATTACACATATTTTGTTATTTTTTTTTATCTAGTATTAAGAAAAAGGTTTTTCAGTATTGGATCCCTTTCATATTTTAGGGAATACCAGTACAGCATTTCACTGGATTCTTTGAGACTTACATCCAACACAAAGAATTAAGTTTCATTACAAATATGCGTATACTGTAATGTACAGAAACTTTTATTCATCAATATTTTTTTGTCAAATTTACTCATAACATATTCAATAAAATACTGACATAAGTTCTTAATAACTTACTCTCATCGTCAATATCTTTTATGTCATCCAACTGTCTCACGGATGCCACTGGATATGGATGTTCTTGGATGATGGACAACAATTTGAAGCGGCAAAGTCCGGTCACCAGCAGCGAATAAGAAGGTCGTGGCCAGTTGGTGCCAGTCACCTGAACCACTACACCAGCTGTACCAATATCATGTAGAACATTCACCTTCCCTCCCTGAAATGATAAATCATAACAGATAATTGGTACCTATGTCAAATGTAACTGAAGGCAATTAATTTTACCACCTATCAGCTTACTAGTTGCTTGGGTTGTTAATCTGCTCTTTGTTATGGCCTAAATTACCCAGTGTTAGTACAGAAGAGAACTGGAGTACCCTAAGAAAACCCAAGATATGTCTGTCCTGGGCCAGGGACTGAACCCACGACAAAGCTGAGAAGCATACATGTTACCGTAGTGCCTCCAATACCTCATCACTCTGTCCAAGTGCTAAACAAGTCTTGTGTGTACTATATTGTTGTCCGACACAAGCTATAAAATTTTTTTGCAAGTTTCCTCTTAAAACAGCCCATGCAGATGTTTCAAAATTTATTTTGAAAAGGTTTGTTTTATTCTTGAAAGTCTATTTCACTTTACTGCACTACTCTATAGTACACTGGTCGATTAGGTAAAAATGGGTTCTGATATAATTAAGCATAAAGTGAAAGAGTTTTTCTTTCCTTTACTCATCAATACAAATCTGAAAAACTTTAACCCAGAAGCTAGTAATTCTTGCCAATCTGCCGCCCTCGACCATTGAAAATTAGATTAAAATTCCCTGAAATACTGTGTTTTTATATTATAGACTGTATTTTTTATATTATACAGTACAGGGGGTCCCCGGGTTACAAATGGGTTCCGCTCCTTTTCATTGCTTAAATTTTATTAGCTACCTGCTACCTAATTGTAAAATTGTGCTGATTTTACAAAGAATTGGGTGAATTTACGGAAAACAGAAATACATCAACCACACACCTAATAAACTCACCTTATCTGGTTCTTTTGTGATAATTCCAATGACAGTGCTGGCCAGCCTATTGCCCGATGTCAAACGAGATCGTACAAGATTAATGCTGTTGAGAAATACAAGTTGAGTTCACACAAATTCACCGTAATACTGTATACTGTACAATATTTGTATTTAGTTAGGTCATTTTCAAAAAGTGCCAGGGTCTTGGTAAAACATTTTTAAAACAAAATATAATGCTTAAGAATTGTTTAAACTACCTACAAATGTAAGAGGAATTATTTGTTATGTGTAGCTACAAGTAGGTGAAATTTTCAGTGATATATGGAAGGTGCAGTACTGTAATGCCATAACTTTGGCTGAATGCTGCAAAATATAGATTCTCATAAAAATTAATAGAATGCAGTGCTATCATATCTCTTTTAATGAAGCCTCAGCCAACAGACTTTTATTCAATGAACATAAAATATAAATTATTTTATAAATACTGTACTGTACAATAGTACGTAAGTCTAGTACAGTACCATTCAAGAAAAATATCACTTACACATTAGTAAAAAGAATCAACGATAAAGTCTGCCTCCATCTTTGTTGTTCATAAGGTCTAAGCCAATCAGTAATCGTATCTTGTCTATGAAATGTCCTGCATAGTAATCCCCCCCCCCCCCAATAAAAAAAAAAGTTTTTTGTTTGTTATAGATTTTTTTCTAATTTCACTTAAAAGGATAATGGATTAAGTTTTACACCATTTTCTATTCTGGAATATTATTATTTTTTTGGTCAGCCATTGTAGCTCTCCTCAAAGGGATGAAAACAGCCTCGCACACACTGGTTGAGACGGATTGACAAGGGGTTTAGGTATTGTGCGAAATTAACTCCAGATTTGCCTGAATTCAGGTATTTCCTCTTTATATCTTCTGTATACTTCAAACACTTTTCATTATGTTTCATCATTCTTGTTCCATTCATTCTCAGACCAGTACAACAAAATACACCTCGTTAAGGCGGACTAATTGGGGGGAAGGGGTGTCTGGGATAAGAGGATGTTCACCTTCGAACAAATTTTTCCCAAAAGACCGCCATTTAAACAAAGAACGAGTACAACACCAATGAATCCAAGTTTTTTGAAAGAACACATATTTTTAATCAAAATTAATTACAAAAAGTAATGTACTGTACTGTACATAAAGAATTGTACACTTTATTTTCATTCACTGATAAGGTTTTAGGCTTAACCTTCTCACCACCCTTATGGATACCAAACACTTTCTTAGGGACTATGGTTATTGTTTAAATTTTTAACAATAATGCAAAAAATATGAATGCTACTTCAGCCTACTGTGAATGTACTATATGTAAAAGCGATAAATAATAATACAGAATAAGAAACACCAAAAATACAGTCCAGTATCGTATTTTAAGGCAGGGAGTATTTAGGAAAAACTTTAGTGTGTATTTTCCTCCTGTAGTCATAGTTTTCTTAAAATAATATATACCTGTACAGTACCAGGAAAAGTGAGGAAAAAAAATACAGTACAGTGGTGCCTCGGTTAACGAAATTTCAGTTAACGAATTACCTTCCATAAGAATCTTCATTTCGGTTAACGAACAAAAATTTGGTTAACGAAATTCTTACAAAAATGTTTGGACATGCTTTGGCTTGCTCACCAGCTGGAAGATTAGTCTGCCAATACAGAAATCGGTTCTAGGGCTTACATTCATTAAAATTGGAGTAAATATCAAGAAGATTGTACTATTCAATAATTTTCCAAGTTTTTTATTATTTTTTTTAGTCATTTTAACATTAATTTAACATAATTGCAGTACAGGGAACTAGTTTTTGGTGCACCCACCAGCCACTTCACTCACCCACCAAGGCGTCTGTTTGTGTCTCTGTTCAGTGGAGGACACATCTTGCTTGTGGGTCTCTTGAACACAAGAGTATTTTTACGTTTTTACAGTACAATTATTGGTCATTCTGAAATTGATTTAACATATTGACAATATATAGTGCAGTGCAGTGTTGATTTAAAGAAAATAATCTTGAATTACACCAAGTGAACTTAAAATTTTATTGGTGAAATGACGGCATCAAGCATGGGGTGATTTCTCTTCCACCCCACTTCCTTCTCTTCTCCCTTCTCCTCCACCCCCACTTCTAATTCCCATCATCATCATCATCAACCAGGAACCTTCTACATACACACCTCAAAGTAAGTGTACTTTACTGCATTTTTTTTTTACTTTGTATGTAATTTTCGGTGAGCTGGAACCAATTACCCAAAATTCCATTGAAACAATGGTTTCGGTTAATGAACAACCTTCTGGAACGAATTGTGTTCGTTAACCGAGGGACCACTGTGTGTGTGTGTGTGTGTGTATATATAATCCAACTTTCTTTGTCAGGGTCATCACTGACTTCTGCCATTTACATTTCACTCCACTGGCAAATATTAGGGTTTCGAATAGCAATGTGCGTATTCCTGTAATGAAGTCCTGTGCAGGTTGTTCTTTGTCCTATCACAAGTTATCTCTACTTGTAGAGGATGAAGACCATCTCCAAGAGTTCACCTGTCAGCATGGACTAGTTGGCAGGACGTGCAAGTGTTTTAAATGTGGCAGAGAACTAACAGTGAACAAGAAATACTGTAATACCACCAGAAGGAGTTCTTTGATTTCATTAATTTTTCCACATGTCTTCTTATCACAAAAAAAAAATACATCAGAAAAATGATTTTAATTAAAATAGCGTTGGTGCATAAAATGAATCTTTACCGCATCAAAACCTCCTAACCAAGGGACAACCCCTCTCCCAGCATATGTAAGTCGTTTGCGAGGGAAACGTCATAGAAGATAAGTGTCTTTGAATTGTTGAAACTACCTACAGTAAAGATAAAATTGCTAGGATTCCTGTGATGTCCCAAGTAAAATAATACCGTGTATTTAATTTCATATCTTACCCCAAGGTGCCAGTTAACGATACTGACTGGTTGTAGTAACAGGTTTGTAGTACATGGATATGCATCGTGACTGATATGTCTACTGTACAAGCAATGATTTGAGTGAGGCCTCTCATGTAAACTCAACTACTGAACAAAATTATAATCCAACCAACTTCTTCACTGTAGACACTGGTATCCTGATCGTGGATCCTGGTAACAAGACACCATCAGCAACGATCAGAAGAGGCAGATTTTTGGGGATAGTAATGTGTGAGTGCGTCATTGCTGTAACTTGGGTAACAGGTGAGCTCCGGCGAACAGCTGATCCACGAAAACACTAGAACTGCCTCGTTCGGTTACTGGCTCTGACCTTAGACTGAAATGTAAACATCAGGGTTCACATAAAACAATATGAAATGAGAATATAATTAAACAAAACCATTTTAACCTATAAAGACAGCGAATTTCCAGTTAATGGATCCAAAAACAATTTCATTAAGGGCTCACATCCAATACAATTGATGGCGCAAGTGTGTAACTCGTGTCGTGGCAGACTATAATTTCTTTATGTCACGTGACTTCAAAATTCATTTACTGGCATAATGGCAGCAAGAGGACACACGTGCATGTTATGCTGCTTTACTTTTACTTTTATCCTCTTCGCCACTGATCAGCTTGTTAGCCGCCCGGGCGATCGGTCACGTCTCTGTCACGCAGTTGGCAAATACTGGGCATGCACCGGCTCCTGAATGTACCTGAGCCCGCTCCAGTGTTGGTCAAGTCTTGTCTTGAAAAAGCTCACACTCGGTGCCGTCACAACACTCTCTGGTAGATTGTTCTGTAGTGGATTTCTCCCCTACAAACGCTGTTTGTCGCTGGGTAGCCGACCCCACGAATTCTCCAGTGTGTGCCTCGTGGTCTAGGTCAACCAGCGCCGCCATACATCACGGAGGTCAACTACTAAGCCGCGCCTACCTCCGCTATTTAAAACCTGACCTCGTGGTGACCACCCTCTTTTCTAGCTACAGCCGCAGCAACCAACACCACCTCCTCCGCCGCTGCCTGGCTGCCCTCGCTCCCGCCGGCGAGCATGGCGACCCACAAGCTGTCCTCCTCTGAGCATCCTCACAAACCAGCTCTCTCTACATCACGCTTGTAACCACGTTGCCACTTCCCAGCACCAAGCTGCATTGTACATCCAATACAACATGTATACAGAGAGCAAATTGTGAGTTTCCTTTCTCCATCCCATCCTGAGTGTGAACCAAACAACCTGTTCCACAACCCTCACTCCGAAAAAGTTTGCCCTCACAGTTTTCTGGACTTGCGGCTTCTTCAATCTTGAGCTGTGACCCCTTGTGGGGCGAGCGTCCGCCAGCTCCAAGTAAGGACACTCAACTGAGTAGTGCCCCCTGAGATGCTTATACACCTCAACTAGGTCACCCCTTGCCCGTCTGTAGTATAAGCTAGGCAAGTTCAGGCGCTCCAATCTCTCAGGGTAGCTGAGGTGCCGAAGTGCAGGCACCAGTCTGGTGGCCCTCCGTTGAACATTTTCAACCAACTGACAGTCCCTAGTATATCTCGGGGACCAGATGGGGTGACAGTACTCCAGATGGGGAAGCACTTCACTCCTGAAGATCGTTACGAGGGACGGACCGTCTAGATATCTGAACGACCTTCTTATAAGACCCAATAATTTATTTGCCTGATTTACCTTCTTCTCGCAATGGCTCGAGAACTTCAGCTCATTAGCAACATACACACCTAGGTCCTTCTCATATTGTCTCAACTAGTGCAGTTTCTTCATCCCGTTGGGACATATGGTACGCCTCCTTACCGTTGGTACGCCCCAGGTGCATCCTCTTACACTTCGTGACATTGAATCTCAGCAGCCATTTCTTCGACCATTCCTGGAGCCCACAGAGGTCCTTCTACAGCTCTTCACAGTCCGCTTGATTCTTAATTTCCCAAAATAGGAATTATTTTTCTTTACTTTTATCCTCTTCGCCAATGATCGGCTTGTTAGCCGCTTGGGCGATCTGTCACGTCTCTGTTACGCACTGTTGGAAACTACTGGGCATAAACTGGCTCCTGAATATATCGGAAGCTGCCCCAGTGTTGGTCAAGTCTGGCCCTGAATGAGCTCACAATTGGTGCTGTCACAACACTCTCTGCCTGATTGTTCTAAGAGTTCACAATTCTCACCCCCGAAAAAGTCTTGTACTGACCACGGTCGTATATGTTAGTTAACATAAAATCAGATGATTCGTATTACGCTCAATAGCCCATAAAACATGTAGCGATAACTTCTTTATTGAGCTCCCCATTTGAGACGTACATTCTCTCACCGCTTCAGGACACCTGAGTCCTCCGTTTTCTGTCAATTAGTACCTCTGAGACTCTGATATTTCTTAATACCTGATATCGTGTTCAGATATTTGAAATTGAGAGGGAACTTAATTGTTTTGCGTCAAATTAGATATGTCTGATTACAGATGAAACATTCAAGATCCCTTGTGAGTGATATTGAAAGCTTCAACTGTATTTACTGTTAGTGAAACTTGTCAATAAGTAGTGTCGAGTCTGCCAGTAAAAATGACGAGTCCCAAATATCGCCTTTGCGGGAATGCCTGAGTTTCCAACTGATCCTGAAGTTAGATCATTTTCGTTCCCAATCATCAGCGAATCTGATATTTGTATTGAAATTGTTGTCAGTTGTATATTTTAGGAAGTAATTTATCCCCTGAAAGATTGAAGAAGCCGCAAGTCCAGAAAACTGTGAGGGCAAACTTTTTCGGAGTGAGATTTGTGAACTCTTGGAACAATCTACCAGTGTTGTGACGGCACTGAGCGGGGTTATTACGAAGAGCAGAGAAATTACCGAGAAAAAATTCTGGCTTGAATGTCATGTACACTAATACTGACACGTTTCTTGATAAGAGAGAGGAGTTTGAAACACTACTAAGAGTACACCAACCAGATATTGTAGGAGTTGTAGAACTGTTGTACAAGAATAGGAGAATCGACCCAGAGCAATGTGAGTTCAGTATTGCTGGATATGACTCATTTACGAACCTAACTCAAGAATCCTGCAGGAGGGGTGTGGTTATCTACGCTAGGCAAGACCTTAGAGCCAGCCAGGCGAGGGTACAGGGAGAGGATGTTTTTGAAGAGTCCAAGTGGTGTAAAATTAAATTAAAGGGAGGGGACTTACTTATCGTCGGGTGTATCTACAGATCCCCAAACTGTGGCCCACTAAATCAAAGGAACTTAAGAGCCTTAATAGACAACGCGGCAATGCTCAACCCTAGCCACCTCCTTATCATGGGGGACTTTAACTATGGCGACATCGATTGGAGAAACGAGTCCACCCCAGATGACTTGAATAACCATGGTACTCTTTTTGTAGAAACTCTGAGAGATAATTTTCTGTTCCAACATGTTAGAAACCCGACACATTACAGAGGGAAGCAAACACCCAAGCCACTTGACCTCATCATAATAAACAAGGAGGGTATGATGGCCAAACTGGAACACCTTGTCCCAGTTGGCACCAGTCACCATATGGTGTTGTCATTCAGATTTAACTGTTACCTAGTTCAGGATAAGGCCAGGCCACGGTGCAAATATTACAAGGGAAATTACAATGGGATGAGGGAAGAGATGAGGGGTATCAACTGGCCTGACTCATTAAGGTACAAGAACTCAGACACTACGCTGAATATCATAACTAGTAAAGTGAACCATTTGATCGATAAATATGTACCCAAGCCCAAACCCAGTGCCTCCAGGAATACGAGGGGATCCCTACACATGAACCATGCGGCAGTCGACAGAATTAAGAAGAAAACCCAGAAATTCAAGACGTGAGTTGGGTCAAACGATGAGCAAGACAGGAGGATGTATGCAAGAGCCAGAAACCAAGCAAAGATAGAGTGTAGGAGGGCTGAAAAGGAGTTCCAGTATGAGGGCCACTACTGCCACCATTTATGAGGGCCTCTGTGTGCCAGTAACAATTCCTTTTACTCTCATACTTATTACCATTGGTAGCGTGACGAGAGGAGGCTCGTGGGTAGATGTAATGATAGTATCAAGCAATAGGGAAGAAATAACGGTAAATACTGTAGGTAAATAATAGACACAATATACAAATACAAAATTTATTTAAACATTAATATGAAATTAGGAGAAAGAATTTATTTGTACCAACAGACGAAATCTAGTACTAGGCCCTCAGGCTCAACATACTCACACCACTACTGGGTGGACATACTCAATAACACTTCCAACCCTACTGGGTGGACATACTCAATAACACACAACTCTTATAGTCACTTAGCACCATAAAGACCAGGGCAACTGCCACTACAACACTCAGTCGTCAGGGGTGATACTCAAGCAACAGCCATGGGGTCCAGCCACCATGGAGTACTTTCCGACGAACTCTGAAGATCCCAGTGGATTAATTCCACCACACAAATAGCCCTACGGAGTTAGACACTCATCCACCAATGATGGGGGCTGGTAGTGGGGTGTGGCTTGGTGATCCGGGGTCACCTCGCAGGCCGAGCGTTAGGGCCAAACGAGCCAGCTATGGGGGCTATAGGTAGTCTGAAGTGTCTGATGGCCGGGTCTCACGAAGGTAACTGATCCTACTGGACCTCGGACATCTCCCTAGACATAGTGGATACAACATCCACGCTACAGACACGGCCTAGGCTGCGTTAGGGACCTGTATGGATGAAGGGACGGGCACTCACTAACGGTGACAACAACATCACGTTTCAGGGGACGTTAAAGACGTAAATATGACTTCACTCAGAGCATATCAACTACGTTACTGTAACACTTGCACAATCAACTATTAATTGGGTCAAATCACTTAAAGAAGGGCGAATTACAACACAGAGTGGAATGGCATACCTGTATGGATGAAGGGACGGGCACTCACAAACGGTAGAAATGCCCGCGGCGCCCTCACTCAAAATAGGCCAGGAAGTCCACCTACTTCTATTCCGATGAATTAATTTACTGTACACTCTGACGTTGAAACTGAGACTATAAACTCAGTTTCATTCCCTACTATTATCTTCACTAACAATGCTCTGACTCAGTTATCAAAAGCAAAATTAAACTGATTACAAAGGGTTGGATGGCAACAGGTCCCAACATACAGCGTCTGCTACGAAATCCGTGGATTATATTCAAAGTTCCCTACAAACAAAGACGGGGAAACAGAGAAAACGGGGGACGTTTCCACTGGGGGACTCATAAGGTTTTGTGGACGTTTGAGCGTAATATGAATCCTTAAGGTTTTCAGGTTAGCCGTCATCAC